GAAAAACTATATTTTGATAAAAATTGTCAGCTTATACATGAATGCATAATTGATAAATTTTATCTTTTTGTTTATTTGTATGAAAACTTAAAAAAAACATATATTGCAATAGAAATTAAATTAATTATAATAATCAGATTTAGTTTTTATTAACATCAGTAATGAAATATTATTATGTAATCATAATTATGTTAAATATAATTATTTAAAAAAGAAGAATGTTGTAGCAATAAAAATTAATATTTCCAAATCAAAAATTTAATTTTAAATTATTATAGAAAGAATATGTCGAAAATTTATTAAATCTCACTTTTTATCATAAATTTGAATTTTATAAAATATCTATTCTTCAATTATAAAATTTATTGTTAATTTTATAATTAGTACCTTAACAATAATAATATATTTATATTATTACTTATAGGCTTTTTTGATAATTTTTACTATTTTATAATTTTTTCAATGTATTAATGTTAATAAAAACAACATATTTATTAATTAACGCGAAAACTATATGTACTTCAATTATAAAATATTTGAAAACAAAATTAATTTATTAAAATGCAAAGAATTCTACAGCTTTCATAATTTTTATCATCAAAAAATTATTATAAATTATTCAAAAAGATAAATGATTACATAAACAAATTTTTATTAATAATTAAAAATTCAGTGAGTATAATTCAAAATGAGTTATATAAACGTATAAATTTAATAATTTTCAAATGTTATATCAAATTAATCAAAGAAAATTTATATTTTAATTAAAAAAAATTATATAACAATTATATTATATTACTATAACAATATTTCGTTATATTTTATAAGAGTACATATGAAAATTATTTAATACATCACATAATCAAACAATGCAAAATATTATTCTTAATAATGAGATAAAAAATAATATATGAATAAAAATATTTTATACTTTACATTTAAAGCTGTTATGTACGGTTGGGAATGTTATTCATTAGCTTTTTTTTTTTGACAAAATATAATAATATTATTTCTTCTTTATAATAATCTTATATTTTCAAGCAAGATATTATTCATGTAATAAAATAGTTCTAAATTAAATACAAATTTTTTTAAAAAAGTAAATAACATTCATTTTGAAAATGTAATTTTAATATCATTTAAAAGAAAATAATTAAAGTTAGTTTAGAATTAATTATTCTGATGTTGTAGAAGCACTTTCAAATTGTGAAGAATTTGTTATATCACTATTTTCATTAACATTTTCAGAAACTGTTACAGTAATTAATGGAACTCTATTTTGCTTGTCAATAACTTTAAATTCGTTGTTTTTTAATTCAGTAGATTGCAATTCTGAAAATATTTTTTCATTTGTATCTTTTACCTCAAAATTGTTTTCAGAATTTATTATATTAACATTTATTTCATTATTGTTTTTGCTTTCAATATTACATTTTTTTTCATCAATATTTTCTAAAATATTAGTTTCTGTTTTTAAAAAATTTATGGAAGAATTGTTTATTATATTTTTTTCTTGTGCTTCTGCAGATTGTAATATGTTTTCATTATTAGAATTTTCACAACATTGAATATTTATATTTGATTCACGTAATCCTATTTCACAATTACTAATTTCTGAACTAATTATTTCTTTAAAATCTGTTATATTAACATTTATTTCATTAATGTTTTGAAATGTTTTATTGTTTTCAGTATTACTTTTTTCTTCTTCATCAATGCATAAAGATTCTTCTTTTCTAAAACTTATAGAAGATTTATTTGTTCCATTTTTTTCTAATGTTTCTGTATGTTGTATTTTAACAAGTTTTTCTGATTCTAATGTATTTTCATTATTAGGATTTTCACAATGATTTTGAATACTTGATTCATATATTCTTATTTCATTATTGCATATTTGTGTTTCTGGGATTATATTATTTTGTTCTGTGTCAAGATTTTCTATATTTTTAATATTTGACGAGTTTAGAATTATTTCAATGTTATCTTCTGATAAAATTTCCTCATTCATAGTTTTTATTTCGTCATGCATTTTATTGTTTTCTATATTATTTTTAATATCTTGCATTTCATTTTCTTTGTTACATTGTATTTCAACTTGTTGTATTAAATGTTCTAAATCATTTTCTATTTTATCACTATTATCTTCATGACAAGATTCAATAGTGTTGTTATGACTACTAAACATATCTTCATCTTCTTCTGGTTCATCCATTTTCATATTTTGAACTATTTCATCTACACTAAGTTCTATAATAGAAGTATTCAAACATAAATTATTTTTTTCAATTTCTTGATTCTGACTTTCAATATTTTCTTGAAATTTGTTTATATCTATATTTTCTTTGCTTATTTCATTTATTTTTTCTGTTTTTATAATTTTTTCTTTATTTTCATTATTATTCTTCATTTCATTAGCATTTTTATCTTTATATGATTCTTCTTTATCTTCTGGATCATTCTTAGATATATTTTTAGAAAATGGTACTAAAATATCAACAATATTTTTTTCATTATAAATTAATTTAATACAAACAGGATCACTGGTATTATCAAGAATTTCAAATTGAAACATTGTTTCTCCACTTGCAGCAAGATCTTCAAATGTTTTATAAGCATCTAAAGGCCAAAAATTTATGATGTCTGGTTTTTGTAGAGTGCAACGTTTTGCTAAAGGAGGAATATTTATAATATCTACTGGTAACATTCGTGTTTCGTTTGTAATTGCTGTATTACCATAATCTATGTACAAAACTTCAGTACCATTTTCAGAATGTGAAAGAATTTTTGCTCTATACCACTGACTATCTTCTGAATAAATTGCAGCACAAATAGTACCAATTTCAAATGTATTTAATGGAAGGAAAGTAGATGCTGTTTTTAATCTATCTATCATCATATTTAAATCTGTAGTATTACTTTCAGTTTGAATCCAAAATTCATCTGGTGTATTGATACGACTAATAAATACATTTGGTGAATTTTCTTCACCTAAAGGAGGTAATCGTTCTTCTATGATTGATGGATAACGTTGGCAGAAATTTGCAAGTATATCTGTTACATTCTTATTATCTAATGTTAATTTTACCAATGACGTTTCATCTTCTTTGATTACATCTAATAAAAATATAGTTGCTCCATCAGCTGCTAATGCTATAAATTCTTCACAAGCCTTTTCTGACCATTCTGTAATTTCTTCTGGCATAACTAAACGACATTTTCTTGATAGAGGCGGTATTTCCGCAAGATCTGCAGGTATAGCACGTATTTCGGTTGAGGTAGCTGAATTTCCATAATCAATATATATAACTCGTGTAGCATTATCACTGTGTGATATAACGCGTGCTCTATACCAACATTCATCTTCAGGATATTTAGCAACACATAATAAATTTTCTTTAATTTCATCGACTTTAGCAAACATGTGAGCTATAATAAATCTATCAGTCATAATTTCTAAATCACCAACAGATTTTTCTTCCTGAACCCAAAATTCATTTGGAGAATTAATATGACTTACAAAAGCAGAATGGGGATCCAATTCGAGATCAATTATTTCATCTATTAATTCTTCTTCAGTGTGAATTTTTATAGCATGGTGATCTTCAACTAATGATTCACTAACACTTTTGTTATTTATTAATAATCTATTCGTTTTGGAACACTATTTGTTACTACTATAGCTTGTAAAGACTCAACAGAAATTAAATTTTCAAATTTTTCACAAGTTGTAATATTCCAATCTTCTGACTCTATAGGAATGACATCTAATCTACATTTAATTGCATATTCTTCTATTTCTTTCCACGAATCTGGTATTTGCCGAATATTTCCTGATTTATTATCAATAACATCCGTATTTCCATAATCAATAAATCGAACAGTTGTAATATCTTCATCAGCATCGAGAACCTGTGCTCTATACCATAAATTATCTATAGTGTACACAGCAACACACAAACTTCCTTCTTCTAATATTCCATCTATTTCTGAAAATGTAGGGGCTTGAATTTGAAGTTGCTTTTGTTTGTTAGAAAGATTTGTCGCATCATCTACAAGTTGAAGCCAGAACTGACTAGGTGAATCAACATGAGATACATATACATTATATTTACAACCCACTGTTATGTTATGAATTTGAGGTTTTTTCATTTCAGATATTCCTTGTAATTCTGAATTAAGAGAACGAAATTTATCACTAATTTTTTCTCCATTATATAGCAATTCCACTGTCCATTTTTTATTTAAATTATGAAAAACGGCAGTAAGTTCTTTATTTGATAAATAATTTTGTAATATATTTAATTGTTCAGCTATTGTACCATTAAGCATTACCGGTAATGATACATTAATAGCTAATTGATGTGGTGTATAAAAATGTGAATCTAAAACCATTAGTACACAAGGAGTAACTTCTTCATTATTGCCATAATCAATGAAATTTACATAAACTCCATTTTCTGTACATTTTATGATTTTAGCTCTGTACCAGTGACCATCTACACTTTTAACAGCGCATAAAAGATCAACTTTTGGTTCCAATAATTTTCCAGAAGTAGAATAATACTGATCAAGTGCTTCAACTAAATTTTTATCTAAATTATATTCTGCATTACGTTGTAACCAAATGCTAGCAGAATGATCTGCATATGATACAGATACTTTATGAGTAGAACTTAGAATGGGCATTGGACATATTGGTGATATTTTTTCATCTATATCTTCAAAAATATTTATTCTATTACCATTCAAATCAAATAATTTTACAAGAAGTCTGAAAAAAATTATGAATTTTGATAAAATTGATAATTGATAAAATTTGAAATAATATTTAATTAAATGAATATTTTCTTAATTAAAATTTTGTGAATTTAACTTTCTATTTTTCATTAATTTATGTAAATAATGTTAATAATATATAAATACATATTAACAAAAATTTAATTTTTTACTTATTTTTCTTAATAGTATTATATTATGAGTTTCTCTATATTCAAAATAAAGACTTTGACTTTTAAAAAATAAATAACAAAAAAATATTCTAATAATAATTTATAATAAATTAATTATAAATTATTCAATTAAATTTACCTGTTATCATCAATTTCATCCACATATATAATTACTTCTTTTCCTTCAATAAGCTCTTTCAATGTAATATCTCTTTCAGGAGTTGATATAGTATTTACAAGGGAGCATTCCACTGCTTGATTCTGCATTACTGAAAGCTCTCCTGGTAAAGCTAACACCTAAATTAATAAGTTATATTAATTATTAAAAGCGTATTATTAACGAAAATAAAGTAAAAGCAAATAAAGATATATTTACTATAGTGAATAAACAATGTATTACAAATATTTTAAATATTTAACTAAGCGTTTTGTTTAAAATCAAGCAATATAATAACAATTTATAGATTTATAAATAATATAATAAATTTAATATAAATAAAAAAAATTTAATTCTACTTATATAAATCTTTAATTTGCAAAAATGAATTACATCATTGCATCAACAATTTTCAATGCAGTAAGTATGGTATTAAATAACTTCTACTCTTAGCACTAATGTTATATTATTTATACACAAATTAAATCTAATATTTAAATTAATCTTTTTTTATTATCCTTTTTTTTTTTTTTAAACTCACACTATCTGAGAAAATTTCATCATATGCTCCAGTATCAATGAATTTTACATTAAAGCCTGTGGACTGTGAATGGTTACTGATTACCGCTCGTCTCCAAACTCCATTAGAATAAACCAAACAACCTGTGCCTAGGCATATCTCATGGGTTGATAATCGTTGCATCACCTGCCATTATCATACTTATCCTTACCAATATTGTTCAAGTTATTAAATTTATTATATATTATTTCATTTATAAGAAATTTCAATTTTGAAAATTTTTTTAGTGATATTACTCTTATAACATATTGTACTTTAATAATCTTTAATTAAAATTTTCTGCCAAACAATTATATATATAATATAATATATAGAATTTCAAAATATAAGTAGAAATTCAAAATTATTCATTAAAATCATTTCATTTTGATTAGTACCAAAATATCACAAATTATTTAACATGTATATCCAATATATCTATATTTTATATTTAATAAGAAACTGGGCATGCAATGTTAGATATAACATGAAATAATTTATTAGATTTTAATATAATATTTAATTTAATATAATAAATTATTCATTACATATGATGTATAATTAATTAATTTGTATAATTAATGTATTATACAAATAAAGAATTAAAAAAAAATAATAATAACATTATTATTATCTTATTAACACATACAGTTTATTTAAAGCAGACATATTTAACTTTAAAGATATTTAAATTTATATAAAATATATTTATTTTTATATAAAAAATTAAACAATTTTACATTCAAAATAGAAGACTATATTTATAATATTTAGAATAAAATTTCATAAATAAATTTAAAAATAAATAAATGGATTTTGTTTTAATACTATCTATAATTTTAATATATTTTAATTTAAATATTATAATAATAAACACACAATATAATATATATAATACAATATAATTGTAAAAAATAATCTTGTAAAAAATATAACTACAACTTACCTCTTTTATTCAATAAAATACATTATATTTAAATATTACAAGTCAAAATACAAAATGGCAGGACATTATTTTTTATGATGAATATATAAATATATTAAATAGATTCTTAATACAACTTGGTAGGAGAAAACAGATTACAGCACAGAGAAGATATACTTTACTAATTAAGTTATTAATACCATACATCGTGCAATGAAATGCAAAAAATATATGATTAGGATAACAAAGATTAGTAATGGATTATTATTTCAACTGCATATGATTTTTATCAAATTCTGTTAGTGAGAGAATTAGTTTGTTATTGTAATTTTTTTATTATTTAATAATTTTAGAAATATATAATAAAAGAAACAATTATCATAATAGAAATAAAATTAAATATTAAAATAATAAAAAAACTAATATATTTAATTAATTCATGTTATAAAATAATTATAATATAATATTTATATAATATAATATAATATAAAAATGTATCAATATTAAAATATTTTAGAATTTATAAAACATCTATTTTTGATAACATTATCATGTTATAATATATAATTTTTTGTATTCATAAATTTTTTTAAATTCTAATCAAGAAATTTATTTCTATTTAATATAAAATATACTTTATTTAAAAACATTATGTTTATGAAATGAATATTTAAAGATTTTAACATTACATAAATTCAATTTTTTAAGTAATTTTTATGTATAAATAATTTTCATGCATTAAATTAAATATCTTTATATTATATTGCAAATATAATTATAAATAATAAAGTTACATTTCTATTTAATAATATTATTAAATATAGTAATATAGTCTGCATAAAACATACCTTAGGATTTTTGTCAGCCATATAGGTATTAATTATTTTTTCACATTCAATAGCTGAAGGAATTTGAATATAGAATTTTGATGCATTTTCAACACTTGAAACATTTACTCTAAGTGTCTGACCATTTAAAAGATTTATATCCACTCTTTCTATTTCTATATCACACGAAATTGTTGATTTTAAAGAGTTTTTATCTAAAAGAAAAATTACGATATGTACATAAATATATAATAAATAAAATATATATATAAATAAATAAATAATAAATATTTTTTAATATATAGATATATATAATAAAAATTATTTTACCTTCAGCAGTAATATCTGATTTAGTTTTTGAATTAAAAGATGCAAGATTTTGTTCAACTAACATATTACCTACATCAGTTTCCTCATTAATTAACGATATTGAATATTTATTATTTTTTATATCATGGAAAATACACTTATATTTGTCAGCATTAAAACAATTATCAATTGCTTTTGTATTAACTTTAGACCAATTAATACCGTCCAATGGAGCAATATTTAATAAAGAACATTGAACAGCTTGTTTAGGAAGATACATTAAGTTTTTTTCTACTGGATAAATTTTTCGAGGATTAACTACTGCATTGTTTCCAAAATCTATATATTGAATCAGATGACCATTTAATTTATTTAATTCAATGACTTCTGCACGGTAAAGAGCTCCATCATCAGAGAATCTTGCTATTATAGGAGATCCAACCTAAAAATAATTATAAAAATCTATTTATAACATATTTGATGCATACAAATTTATTTATTCAATTATTTAAATCAAGTTACAACCTGTAATGTATGCGAAACTGGTTCTCTTCCAACATATATTTTCTGAATTTGATTCATCATAATTCTAAATTGATTTTCTTTATCAAGTATTTGACAATAAAAATTATTAGGATTCGTAAACCATGTAATAATCACATCTTTTTTAGTTTCAGGTGTATATAAAACTGTATTCCATACAGCATCCAAAGATACATAATCAGGTTCATTAAATTGTCTTATACTAGAAATAAATATTTTATTGGATATTTTATCTTCTTTTACTTTTGGCAAATCTATATTTTCGCAAAATTCTTGGTTTATAAAAGTATTTGTTGAACAATTATCAATATTTTCTTCCAATAAGATATTGTATATGCCATTTTCTTCATTTATAAATTCTGCTTTTAATGTTTTACCTATAACTGCATCTTCAAATTTTTTTATTTTATCTTTGTCAAGATTATCCTTTACACCAAATAATTTACAATGTACAGCTTGTATTGGAAGTTTCAAAAACTCTTTTTGAATAGATTTAATTTTATCAAATTTAACTGTTTCTGTATTACCATAATCTATGAATTGTACAATTGCATTGTTTTTTATAGTGGATTTGATCACAGCTCTATACCATTTCAGATCTTCTGAGTATTGAGCAATACAATATGTTCCATTTGATATATCAGATTCTTTCATTAATTCTCCTCCAATTTCATATATTGATGCAATATTATCCATTATAGAATCCAAGGCGACATAATCAGAATGTAATTGTACAAAAAAATCGGAAAGATTATTTATAAAAACTACTTCACAAATTCTTGTAGTTCCAATAATTATTCTAGGACATGGAATATAAAATTCATTTTTATTTCGCATAGGACTATATTTTCGTCCTTCTTCATCAGATGTAAAACTATCATTTATCTAAAATAAAAAATAATTTATTATTTAATAATTCGATATTAAAAATTAAAATTTCTTAAGATATGTTAATATTAATACTTTTAAATCCAAATATAAAACATATAAGATATATTATATATTAGTATATATTACATATGAAATATATTATTATTTTACCTTATTTTGTGTTAACCTATATCCTTGTCCTTTTCTTTCTTTAAATCGGTCTCTATTTCCATGATAAGAATCACCTATTAATAATTAGCATATCTTTAAAATATATAAAAAATAAAGATATATAAATAATATATTGTTTATAAATTAGATTCAACTTTTATTCAATTTTAAATATTTTATTAAAAAACTTACTATTCATTTTTCCACCTTTAAAACTTCCATCATTATTTTTATCATTAAATTTACTATTTTGCAGTTTTCCAGAAATATTTTCACGTCTAGAATAACTACCACGAGTATTACTACTTCTTCCACGTCTGCTACTACCTCTGGATGATGTATCAGAATCTTTATCACTCCAACTTTTATCAGAAGAATTTTTAGGTGTATATCCTGAAGTTCTATTTCTACCACCTCTAGTACTCTTCCCATTTTTAAATGAATCATTATGTTCATGTCTATTGTTCCACTTATCTTTTGTATTCCTGTTGTTAGAAAAATCATCTCTATTGAATCTTTCATTTCGTATATCATTACGATGAAAACTACTACTTTTTTCATTTTTATTTTCTTGTATTTTTTCTTCATTTGATTCATCTTTCCAAGTTTTAAACTTATTTTTTTCTTGATGCCACGAATCTGATTGATTCCTTTTATGCCATTTATTTGTATCCTCACTATAACATAAATTAAAAAAAAAAAATTAATATAAAACAAACAGATTAAATAATTAATATAAAACAAATATTTTTCATATAAATTAAAAAAAAATTATCAATTACTATTAATTTTTTTACATAAAATAAAATCAACATAATATAAATATAATAATTAATATAATTATTTAATTAATATAATTAACATTGTTAACAAAACTATAAATACTTTTTAATAAATAAATATTTCAAATATCTTTAGTATTTTGAAAATTTTATATAATAATAGAGAATAACAAATGCTTAATAAAATAAATTTTTAAGATTTAATACATTTAATATAAAAACTTTATAAATAATATTTTTTGGATAATAAATAATTGAATTTAAAAAATAATTTATTAAACTTATAAAAAGTTACCAAACTATATTTATTATTTTAAAATAATTATTTTAATATGAAAAATTTGAACAGATTTTTATTATTGAACCAAAAATATCATTTTATACAAGATTTGTGATACAGCAAATTATTAAGTTATTCGAAATACGTTTATAAAATCAAATAATTTGTATATATATCAGAATATATATTATATAGAATTGAATTATTATAATTAAATCAAAATAATTAAATACCTTTGATCAATTTTTGAAGTCATTTTAGTAGAATGATTTTCTATATCTTGATAATTTAGTGGTTCATTTATTATTTTTTCTTGATTTTTAATTATATCTAACATTTGAGATTTAATATTATCATTTTGCTCCGCTCCATACAAATCTACTATAATGCCATCTAAATTCACATCTATAACTTTTAAACGTAAACGTTTTTCTAAAATTAATAACTCAAACTGATTATGAATTTCCTGGGTACATGGTAAAAGTTCCCAGCCATTTAAAATGCATTTTATAGCTTGAGCTGGCAATTTTTTTATTAAATCATCGCGAATTAAACGGAGAGACGTTAAACTTACAGTTTCTTCATTGCCATAATCAATATATAAAACCTTTATATTATCTCCATTTATACCTAAAATTTGTGCTCTATACCTAATAAAAGTAATAACAAAATATAATTTAAATTAATATACATTAATTTAATTATATATATACAACTAACCATTGATTATCATATAAAGCAGCACACGGAAGACCAATTTTTAATTGTGTTAGGCTCAAAGTAGGTGCAGTCTTACAAAAATCTGCTAAATTATTCATTGTTAATTCTAAAGATGTAATATAATCCTCCACTTGTACAAAAAACTTTCTAAAAGATTCCACAAATGAAACAAGTACAATTTCTACAACACCTTTTGATAATTTTTTTGGTTTTTGATATGCAAAAGATGAACTGATGGATGTCACTATAACTGGTGTTGGAAATGCTTGTCTTAAGATATCTTTTATATTTTTTCCATCATCATATAAGTCACCATATTGTACTAAAGGTGGTCCTTCTGGTGGCCGAACATGCAATACAAGTAGTTTTCCTGATACTATTTGCTTAAAATATTCTTTCATTTTATCAGTAACATTTAATTCATGTACACCACTTAATGTAAATCGAATTGAAAGTACTCTTGGATTAATAAAATGAGGTGGTAATTGGAAAATATCTGTGTATGGTAACACTTCTGTATGACCAAAATCAACATAGTAAAGTTTACACTTATTTTCCATAACAGACATTACAACAGCTCTACATAAAACTTTATCTTGTGTATAACGACCTAAACATACCGATCCAGGTAAAGGAGGTTCTTGTAATGGTTCTATAGGATGACTATTAATTTCTCTCATGAGCATGCTTAATATTTGAGAAGTACTTTGAAGTTGTACAGAAAACTTATGTGGACCATCTTCTACAAATGAAACATATACATCATGTTTTGATGGAACATCTAAAACACGAGATTTAAATACAAGAGCTTCTTGAATGGAAGTTTGCATCATATGTTTCTGTTGAACTGCACAACACAAAGGAACATTTCTTTGAAATCCATGTATTTCATTTCCTTCATGTAATGGATCCATATTTTGTATTGATGTCATTGTAGTACAATTATTACTAATAAGACGTTTATTTGGTGGTTGATAAATTGGTACTTGAGATTGTTGTATACATTTTGGCCTATAGAAATATAAAAATTAATAAAAATAATTTTTATAATTTTTATTTAAAATAAGATATTTATATATTATTTTGGATTTAATTAAAAAAATTTATTAGATAAAATTTTTGTTTGTTTAATATATTATTATGAAAATTTTTAATAATAATTTAACAATAAAATAATTTAATAATTTATGAAATTTATTAATCCATTTACATTTATGTATCTAATGAACTTATAAAATTATGAAATATAAGATTATAAATAATATAAAACAAAAGAAAGTAAAGATTGTAAATTATAAATATAAAACAATATAATTTAGCAATTAAACAAATTTTATAATTTGAATAAAATTATCTATAAATATAAAATAAATACCTAAACATTTCTTGCAATGTTGCTCTCATTGCCATATGTTTATTGATTAGTAATTCACTGAAATCTTCATTATTATACCAAAGTTTAATAAAACGATGATTATTGACTACAGTATGAATCAAGATTTTATATTCATTATACCATAGGGTCTTTTTAATTGACTCGATTATATTATTTTCCCAAATACCATTTATAGGTAGTACATGCATTAATGTAAAATCAAATGCCACAGGTGGAAAAGATTGCAGAGATTCAGAACCAGGTATACTTTCAAGTAAATGTATTTCTTGAGGTGGTAACACTTCAATATTACCATAGTCTATGAATTGCAGAACTACCATCCCATCAGCACGTATATTAATAACTTTTGCTCGATAATATCCTTCATTTTGGAATCTAGCACAACAAAGAGCATTGATGCGTAAATTGGCTGATTGAGATCCAACACAACCTTGACTTCTAGCAAATTGTTCAACCAAGGGTAAGATCATACGCTCTACACATGTTGCAGAATTTTTATCGACTTGACCCCAGATTTTAAGAAATGAATTCTCTGCTTCAACATGGGTCACAAAAATAATCAACTCAGTACTTTGTTGTATGCTCATCGCGTTATATAATATATATCTTTTTTATAGAATATTAATTTTTATTTGACTACATAGATGAACTTGTAATCTGAAATATCAATTTTTTTTTAAGTACCACGAAAGTATTTTTATTCAATCCTAACCGTTAATTAAAACTGGGCCACCTTAGCCTCGACTTATCAAATAATGCGACCGGAAGATCATATGATTACGATTCTTTCTATTCTTATATATTTGTTCTAGTTACATTATTTTTTATCTATATTATTTTAATAAATATCAATATAAACAAATATCTTTTATTTTTACCGTATTGCATTAAAAGATATCACATAACTATCTTATACTTTATTAACAAAAATTATTTGATCACTTGCTTATTTTAACATAATATAATGTATATATAATAAAAATTTTCATAACACTTTTTTTTGGTTAATAAATGTTACTGTTTGTTCTATTTAATATTAAATGTGCACACTACATGTATCACTTGAATTATATATCTAAAACTAAAATTCTTTATATGATACTGCGTATAAAAAAGATGTATGTATCTATGTCAACATTAGAACTAAAAGTAATACAAACCTTAAGAATGAGATATGTCTTCTAATTTCGTTAGAATTTAAATAACAATTTTTTCATAAAATTCTTTTTTATAAATAATATCAGAATCTGGCGGTTGACCGGCTTTTCATCACTCACATGAAAGTACCTTTGATCATAGCTTTAAATGGCGCGGAAATTTAATTTATATATTAAGAAAAAAGATTTTATTTAGCATGTTTAATATTAATCAAAGAAAATATAAGTGAATTTTAATTTAAAAAAAGACAGTTAAAAAATATTTTTTAGATAGATAAAATAAAATATATACATAAAATATATACATATATTTTTATTAATTATTAAATTTTATTTAATATTCTATTTAAATTTTATTTATATAGATATACAATAATCATTTAACACAATTATTATAATTAATTCCATTTTATAAGTATTATTTCCATTTTCATTTTTAAAATAAAAGTTAAATTGTTTTAGCATTGTATAATGTTTATTAATTTTTTCATAAATAATTATTATATAAAATTAAAATGAAGTAATATATAATATAATACATGTAATATAATATAATACATGTAATATGCATAATAATTTTTTATCTTATGAATTCTAATATTGTTATAACAATGCATTATACATACATATTACGTATACTTATGTAGAGCGAGAATTTAGAAGTTGACAGCTAAGTTTCATTGGTTGTTCTTTACGGATCTAATATGCGTACTTCGTTATCACATTTACAAACAGCATCATATAAATTGTATATCTATGAACTAATAAGCAGAATACCCTCCTTGTTCTATCGTCTTGACAATAATCGATTCTTGAACTATATTTATATAATAATTATAAATTAAAAATAACCTTAAAAAATTCACTGATAATTTCACAAATAATTTAGTTTTTCATGACTGATATTGTTATTGTTATTACTGTTAAAATATTTTGAAATGATTGAAAAACAAAGACTTTTTTTAAATTTAATAGAAAATAAAAGAATGATATTCTTATTTAAGAAATATTTCTCAGATACTGCTGAAACTAATAACAATGAGAAAATAACTCATTTTGGATTCAAAACCATTAAGGAAAGCGATAAAGTGAAAGAAGGTGTTTTACAATTTATTTAATTATTTAGATATATTTTTATATTTTCCCCTTGTATATTGTAAATAATAAAATATTTTATTTCTAAAGAAAATATAATTTTTGCTTTAAAATAACATATTTTTTTAATAAAGAAATATTACACTAAATATGAGTATGAAATGTAATCTAAAATGCATAAAGAATTAAAATATAATAAACTGTTTTCTTGATATTCTTTAACATAATCTTCATTTTAATTGAAATGTTATTATTAATAATAATATTATTTTTTAATTTTTTAATATAATTTTGATATTAATTAATAACTTTTTAATACTAATTGTGATAGAAAATTTTTTGCTTTTTATTATTTTATTAATAAATTAATTTTTTAGTATATACAGTCTTTGAAAAAGTAGCAAATTCCTATGATCAAATGAATGATGCCATGAGTTTTGGAATTCATCGTATTTGGAAAGATATATTCATTCAAAGACTTGGACCAACTCATGGCAGCAAATTATTAGATTCAGCTGGTGGTACAGGAGATATTACATTTCGATATTTAAATTATTTAAAAAATACTCTTAATCACCAAGATTTAAAAAGTTCTGTAACAGTTTGTGATATAAATGAAAATATGTTAAAAGTTGGTAAAGATAGAATAAAAAAATTAGGATGGATTAATCAAAATAATGTTGATATTGATTGGCAACAAAGTGATGCAGAAAATCTTCCTTTTAAAAATGATTCATATACTGCTTATACAATAGCTTTTGGAATTAGAAATGTAACACATATTGATAAGGTAAATTAAATTAGCATATATTAGATTTCAATAATATTAAATTAATTTTAAAATTTTTAAAGGTAAATGAACTTATATTTGATATTTATAGTCTTATTATAAGAAGACTAATAAAATAAATTTCTTATAAAAATTAACTTTTTTAAAAAAGAAAAATAATATTGCTTGTAGGTACTTTCTGAAGCATACAGAGTACTTACTCCAGGTGGTCGTTTCATGTGTTTGGAGTTTAGTCATGTAGATAATAATTTTTTAAAATGGTAAATATTTAATATAAGTAAAAATTATATACATATACATATGGATGATTAGAATAGATATTTATATTACAAAATAAAATTTGTAGGGTCTATGATCAATATTCATTTCAAATTATACCAGTCTTGGGCACACTCATAGCAGGAGAATGGCAACCCTATCAATATCTTGTTGAGAGTATTAGAAAATTCCCAAAACAAGAAGACTTTAAAGTAAATAATAAAATATAACAAAGATATTTATATGTGAATATTATTAGAAAAATATTTCATATTTAAATATTAAATCATTTTAGGAAATGATAGAAGAAGCAGGGTTCAGAAATGTAACATATGAAAATTTGACATGTGGAATAGTAGCTATTCATTCAGGTTTTAAATTATAATTCACATTATATTTTCTTTAAATATAATTAAATACATTATAAATTACATTTATAAATTACTTATATTTTTTATTATATCAAAATATTTAATAAAAATTAATGAAATAATCTATTGAATATTACAGTTTATCTATTTGTAATTTTTAAGTAAAAAATTGGATAATCTTTTGTCTATTATTTTTTTTTGTTCTTGAGTTAAATCCATAATTTCAATTATTATTGGTTTTTTATTTATATTTAACTCTAATTTCAAAAGTGCATCCAATGTTTTTATTTTTTGTTCTGCATTACGAAAACTCTGAAACATTTATATTTTTTTTTATTACTTATTTTAATATGAAATTAAACTATTAAAAATTATAAATATTTAAAATTTTTTAGAAAATTATAAAATTTTGTATAAAAATATGAATTTAAAATACCATTCTAAGTTCATGCTCAATTTCTGGATTTTTTTTTCAATTTCTTCTTTAATGAAAATTCTTTTACACTAAAACCTAATAAATTTTCTAAAAGCTGAAATCATAGAATAAAATTTATTTATCATGAATTTATTCATAAATTAAAAACTTATTTTAAATAAATTATAACTGTGAACCTTATTTGAGAAAGAAACTTCTATTGTTCCAGTACCATCTGCTATTGTAGCTTCCAAAATCCATAATGAGTCTTTTTTTGATAATTTTCCAAGAACTTCAATATGACCTCGAATTGTTTTAAACGTATTATTAGTTATTGTTTCATTATTAATATCATGAATGAATTCACAAATTTTCTCTTCTTTTGGAACAGTTACCACTTTTATAAATTCTGTAATATGTCTATCCATTTTATTTTTTTTCAATGTTATTGTTTCAGGAGAAGATGTTGAAGCCTGAAAAATTGTATAATTAAATGTATTTTAAATAAAATTTAAAAAAAATACTAATTTTTATTTTTTAACAAAACAAATAAATAAATTTAAATTAATTCAATAACTTACACTTGATTCTTTATTAATTAACAAACACTGTTGTTTTTCTTGTACTTTTGAGTGAGAAACATTTTTTTTAATAGCTAAGGATGTAGGATACAAATGTGAAGAATCATTTTTCATGGTATTTCTGAAAATATCATGCTTTACATTTTTATTTTCTTCTTCTTCGTTTATTATAATGAGATCATTATCTTTTTCATTTGATAAAGCTTTAAAAGGTGTTATAATATTTTGTTCTATTTGTGTTTCTATAAATTGTTTTTCATCAATCTGCAATAAAATATTTTTATTAATTTTATTTTTATTATTTTAAAAAATTAATTAAATCTCAAAATATAATCTACATATTAATTTTATTTATAAATTTATTAAATTTAATTAAATCTCTTTATAAAATAAAATATGAAAATAACCATTTCTAAAAAACAATCATCATCATCTATGATTTTTTCATCTTCATAATTTTGAACATTTTTAATTTCTGTATTAATATTTTCAATTTTTATTTTAATTGGACTTTTATCATATATTTTGGTTTCGTTTTTACTATGTGATTCTATTATTATTTCTTCATTTTTATTATATGAATTTGTACATTTTGAGATATTTTCAAAATTTATTTGAAAATCTTCTTCAAAAAAATTATCATCTATTTGTGGTTCTTCTTTTTGAATATTATTTGACTTTATTTCATTATCATTATAAGGATCAGGATTTTCTGGTAGATTTCTGCAAATGATAAATATATATATATATTAAATTATTATTATTATAATTTTGTTTTAAGTAATTTGACAATTTACTTTTGTTTTGGTTTTCTTATTACTTCTTTTAAAATTCAGTTCATAGTAATTTAAATTAAACTCACAGAGCTCTAGCTAAAATATTTTCCAAAGCATTAGGTATCAATAAATTATCAACTTCACCACCAATTCCTTTAAGCTTTCCTTCTTCTAACAACAATACACCTCTACGACATATTATAGGACCTATTATCATAAGTTTATATCCTGGTAATAACATATCCTTGATAGAGAAAATATATCAATATCAATATTTAATTATAGTATTTCATTATTTTTTAAAATATTTTGTAATTTATGTAATTTTCCTTAACATACATTTAATTGAGATATTGGGTTATATT